GTCACAGCGCTCTTCCTATTTTTAGTAATGGGGGGGGGAAATGTAATTTTAAAGAAGCGGGAAGGGGACAACTCCGCCCCCTACCCCCACCCCTTGAGAAAAGAATAGCAAGAAGGGGGTGGGTGGTTTTGTTTGGCTTTGGAGAGGGAAACGTGTTTGGGGAAGGTGCCAACACCCTGGGGTGGGGGAGAGGAGAGATTCTCGGGTTTTACTTCCCTCTGTGCAATCTCATTAAAAGTACATTCTTTTTTTTTGGCCCCTCTTCTTTCATTCTCCCAACGCGAGTGTTTTTGTGTGTGGGGGGGCAGGGAGAGAAGTAGACCTGGCTGACTCTCTCTAGTCGAGAAGACTCCGGATTATTCTCTCTCAGCTCCCCCCCCCCCAACCTTGCTTTCAGGTGTGGCTAGTATTTTCATATTCACATTGGTGGTGGTGATGGGGGGGGGAAGAGACGCTGTCCCTTTATGAGAATCCGTGCCAGTCTACTCCCGCAGACTCCTCCTCTCTCCCACCCCCTCCACCCTTCAAAAAAAAATCAATTATTTTAGATGCAATTGACCTAAATCAAATTACTTAAAAGAATTAGTGGCTTATCTAATTGGATTTTTTCTTTTTGAATGGCGCTGGGGAGGGCCAGGGTTGCCCCACCTCTTCCTCTCGCCCTCATGACAAAATTTAGGGCGAGTGGAGTGTAAAGGGTGGGTGGGGGAGGAGAATCGATTAATAATAATAAAGTAATTCCAGAGGGGGCACTTGGTGGACTGAGGGACGAAACAGGAAGCCAGGATTTGACCAGCAAGAGTCAGGCAGTCAGTCGGGAGAGGTTTATAATTCTCTTTTTCTTGTGGCTCCAGTAATCTGGTGCGACTGCTGGAAGTGACATTAACAGAAGGCTGGTTGTTCTTGCCACCTCAGGGTGGACGGATTTATTGAAATCAACTGTTACTCTAGTTGCGGGGGTTGCAGGGAGGGAAGGAGAACTGACTTCTCCATGTGCTCGTGTTCCCTGTGATTCAGTTTTCGACAGGCTCAGCTTAAAACGAGGAAACTGAGCAAACAAAGGAATCCAAGTATTACTGTAAGCGAATTAAAAAACCGTGCTCTGCATGTGGGGGAGCGATACCTGGCTATTTCTTTTTTTTAAAACAGAGGGGTTCACTTCCTCACTTTCAGAACGTGAGCATTTTTATATATCGTTTATATATCGTTCCTTTGTCGCTGCAGTTTAATGCTGCATTTTTAAAGTTCTCCGTGGTCTTCTAGGCTTAGCGCTGCGAGTGGCTTTTTGCGTAGCGCTAACTTAATAGGGTCCTCTGTTATTTCTCGACTCTTTGTCTTAACGCCAGAAGAAGAGTTGCTCCTTCATATACTTCGCAAAGCACATCATTTCCGTAGTGTGACCCTGAACTGTTCGCTGCTTTGGATTCTTCCTTTCCTCCAGCTCCTCCCAGCTGCTGTTTGTGTGATTGTACTTGTGTTATGTAGAACGGCAGAAAGCACTGCCCCTCAAGGAAGACTCCGGTGTTCATCGTCTCTAGCTACAAACTTGCCAGAAACACGATCCTTGTTTGAAAGCAACTCCCAGTGAGAAGTTTTAAGTTAGAGTGCCTGGGGTTGTAGCCCAGGGCTATGTGGAAAAGGTCTGGGAGCCCATGAAGCCTTAAATAAGTTGTTTTGTCCACCCTTCCCCCCCTGCAGTTTTCAGAGATAAAAAGCTTAGATTGTTGTGAGGACTAAATGCAGTGTGCCATGCCTTGAATAAAATGCTCCATAACTGGTAACTATATTACAAAACAACACATTGGCTTCCTTGTGCAGTCTTTATATTTTGAGCGTAACGGGATATTTATACTTCCGCTTTTCTCTTTCCACCTTCCCGGCCTGTCGCTTATGGATGCAAGCCATATATGTCTGCGTATGACGCATGAATCCCACTTGTCACTGGTTGTGTGATGAATGGGTGCACATCTGTTCACCATGGATGTGTGTGTGTGCATGTGGGGAGGTGATTTCCTGTTCAGTGTGCACATGGCAAAATAAGAGTGTGTGTATATGGTGTAAGTAACACCAAAGGGGGATTCGTGTGGTTAAATTCAATGCAGGAAACTCCTTTTGGGTGAAGTCACCCTTCTCTCTTGTTTAAAAAAATATTTTGCTCCCCACTGCTGTGTTTTGTATGTTTAGGGGTACAGCCTTCTTAGCAGCACAGACTAAAATGGCTATTTGTGGCTCAGTGGGGCAATTGCTGCCTATAAAGGGCCAGTCAATTTGTAAGCTCCATCGTGGTGAAGTAGGTTGTGGCTGATGTCTGCTCATGGCCCAGTAACTGGTTAGGCAATATCTACGGTACAAAAAAAAATAAAGCTGTTTGAGCCACGATGAACCGTCTTGTAGCTTCCCTGCAGGCCTGGGATGTGCCGTTAAAGTTGGGTGCAGAAATCTGTGAGAGAATCCTTGTCCTTCCCCAGAGCCTCAAGTTGTTTAACCAGACTAAGTCTGTGAAATGGTGCGTTGTTATGGACGAAGGTGCTAGTCAATTCTCTTTGTGGCATGAAAGATGTTTTACTTCCATCGTACCCGTAACATCCATATAAGTGGGAACTGTGCAGAATGGGCCTATGAAGTGGTTACCTTGCCGCATGGTTCCCATGGTTCTCATGCTACTCTCTCATCCAATGTGGATTCTATGTGACTAGGCCATGTGAAGACGGCTCCCATAGTGCAGTTGGCTAGCGCAGTGATGGCGAACCTTTTAGAGACCGAGTGCCCAAACTACGACCCAAACCCCACTTATTTATCGCAAAGTGCCAACACGGCAATTTAACCTGAATGCTGAGGTTTTACTTTAGAAAAACCATGGCTGGGGCGATGACACGCATGCCCACAGAGAGGGCTCTGAGTGCCACCTCTGGCACCCGTGCCATAGGTTCGCCACCACTGGGCTAGCGTATGCTTCTGTGTTTAGTTGGGGCAGTTCTGAAGCTGTGTGAGACCGGAGACTGTACGTTCATCATTCAAGTAAATCCTTTGTGTTGGTGTAACATACAAAGAAACCTGTCCTTATTTTAAAACTTGAACTGAGGTCTTGTTAGATCAAGGTGGGCAGCCATGCTGGTTGGTCTCAAGCAATAGAACAAAGTTAGAGTCCAGTGGGGGCACCTCTAAGACCAGCAGAGTTTTATTCAAGGTGTGAACTTTCATGTGCATGCACACTTTTGTCAGACGATGAAATGGAATTACATATCATTGTTGCATATGTAGGAGTGGTTTGTTAAATTAGCATGCAAAATAGTGAGGAGAAAATTCTAATATTTTATCGCATGGTTTGAGAATCTGATGGTTGTAAATGAAATACTTTTGTGAATGGCGAAATTTCCCCACTGGCTTGCAGGTTACTAATTTGGCCCAGGTCCAGTGAATCCTTGCATGCATACAAGGGGGCATACAAGAGACTTGCATGCATACAAGGGGAATTTTTATTTTTCTCTGTCTCTCTCGCCTTCTCTCCTCCCATTTTAAAAAGGACTTAGGCCTGTAAGGCCATATAGCAAAAGTGTGCTGAAGTTCACGTCACGTACAAATGTCCCCTTTGGAGTTCCGGTCGATGGAAGCCGCGTGCCACCTTTTATCCTCCTTGAAGTTTCATTTTCAGCCTGCCCTCCTCCTAATGAAGTTCTGTACTAATTGGAGGAAAGAACTGTCAAATTACTCTGTACAACCTGACACTGAGGTGTTGCTTGACTCACACAAATGTCAGAAACGTCAAATGAATCTTTCCCAGAAGTATTTTTGTTCTTGAATGTCAGCAATTCCTTTTTTTTTAAAAAGATATTGTTTAAGCCTTTCCCTGAAGCATTAAGGAAACAGTTTATCTAATCAGGGCTGGGAAGAAATCCCAGGCAGTTTGTTTGTCAGGTGCCTACAAATTTGATGCGGCTTTCTAAAAACTAGACACCCCCCCCTCTTCCTTGTCGCTTAACCTAGAGTGACTGTTTAAAACAAAGTGGACAGTTTAACAATGGCACAGAACAATAGGGTGTGTATATACTTTCAGTGGCGGTTGCCCAACAGTCATCTGTTAAGGTCTCCTCAGGAGCCTGAAATCAGGTGTATGGAACTTTACAGTCTCCTTGTCTAGGTACCATCTTGGGTGTATGTAGAGCTTGCAGTCAGTGTTCCCTCTAAGCTGAGTTAGTATGAGCTAGCTCACAGTGTTTTAGCCTCTGGCTCACACATTTTTGTCTTAGCTCAGGAAGGATGGCTCCAGAGCAAACTAATCTATGCAACAGAAAATTGCTCGCTCACAAAGTAGAATTTTTGCTCACATGACTCCACAGCTTAGAGGGAGCATTGCTTGCAGTGGTCATTTATTTAGTTATTAATTAAAACGTTTTTGATCCTGTGTTTCTTTGTGGTTCAGGGTGGCTTACAATAATAGTTAAAACCCTAGAAATAGCCCCAGCTGGATTTCACCCTGCCTGACTCTATAACCACACCTTAAGCCCCACTCCACCATGCTAGGTGTATCGATCGTCACAAAGACAAGAGGGGCCTGGCCTCTTGGTTGCAGCTCACACTGGCCTGAGGTGGGTCCCACTTCATCGGCTGCGTTAGGTTCTCAAAGGGTAGCTGTATATATCCATAAATGCTGAGGAGGGAGAAACCCCCAGCAGTGAATAGCGGGGCTAAAAGGCCCA